ATGTCATGTTTTCAATATATAGTACATATCTAATTTTATACTCGTCTCCGGAGATGCCTCTACGCATCAGCAGACACACTTCACGACACCAGTCGCATGATAAATTGATTTGTCAACTCATCGTCAATGTCATTCTACATCTGTTTTGAGGAGAGCATAGTTAGGTAGACACCCGCATTTTTTGTTGCAACTACATGAAAACAAAATAAAGCAACCCAATCRCACACAATTCGTATATACTATGTGTGATGCTTGTACTTATGTGAGTGCGGACATAAGCGAGAAGGTGAATAGAGCCGTGCTGAATGTGGAAGATAAGATAAGGACCCAAGCAGTCAATTAGTCATTCCATCGGCATATTTACATACATGCATATATGGTTCAGTAATCTGCATTGCTGGAAATATACTACTCCAGTACAAATRGCAGTCGAACTAGACAAGAAAACATAGAAGATTTATTAGTGCAGTTTCTACTGTTTTCTTACAAATTGATTTTCTTTAATTTGTTAATCTTGGAAGCAACAACACTAGATGTCCGGGGTCCATACTAGTCGTCAAGTATTTTATAACTGGTTTAATTCACAACAGGGCTTATGGCATTCCTTTCAGTCGGTAGGATAGATTATCGTTACAGATAAGAATGCTCTGTAAACTGAAAAAATACCCATATACACATATTGGATAAACAATATCGCCAGTTTCTCCAACCATTACATCAAATTTAAAAATGGACTTAAATTTCCCCAGAGCGCACAATTCACTCTTTTAATTTGTTATTTATTTACCGTTTTTGTGAATTTCATCCATGACTGCAACAGGTGGAATTGAATCGTGCCATATTGAAGAACGTTGGGAAGCGTATGCTCAACAATGATGGTGATTCCAGCTATAAACTCCCATTGCAAGAACAACAACAATTTGAATATTCCCTCAAGCACATCCCTTATCCTCAGCAAATGTACACGTACGGCGCTCCCCAATATGACCAACAATCGCAACTCCAACTGCAACCTCTGTGGCAGCCACATTACACTAATCAATTGGAGTACACACCAGATGTGTCCATATATGACTACTTACATGAACCCGCTCACATATACAATACCGTTCTGGGCGCAACTGAAAGCAAAGGCAACCTGGATGGACAAACGACTTCTTGGTACATCGATGCACTTGAAAATGGTGCCGATGTTGGTGACGCAAATATTTACAACACCAAGGGAAATGTATTGACTTCAGAACGACGAATTCAAGACAAGGGCACAGGTGGCGATAGCAGCAGTACCAATGTCGACTCATTCTCTAGCGTAGGGACGCTGAACAAAATTGGAGACAATGTGCTAGCAAATGGCGCTGATAAGGAGAGAAATGTTGACAACGCAGATTACCACTTGCGATACTTTTATGGGGTGCCCAAAAAGCACCACAATATGAAAAAGTAAGCTGTAGTCCCACTCTCAAGTACAACCACACACTCATGAACATCGCGAACATAATTTGAAGTTATTCAGCCCAAGAACATTTCTTTTAACACCAATTAATCAAATATACTCTTAAATGTTTGAAAAGGCAGAGCTTTTCATTCAATTAGCTTTGCTCTGCTTACTTTTACTTAGGAGATATTCAAAAGTTTAGATGCTTAAGTTAATAGCATATATGATATGTATATTTATATTCAAATAAATATTTTAGAGAAACTGTTGTAATTCCTATGTGACTTAATGTTGTTGTCACATTGTAATTGAACTAAATATGATGAAATCGTGTTTAGTGTTAAATATAATGTTTTTAGAAATGCATTAAATGTAAATGTTATATGTAATATGTACTTAATAGCTCGCGTATATTACTTTTGAGGGATAAACTCCCCATTCGCCTGTTGGTATATAAAATTTTAAGCGCACCACGGTCATTTATTTATTATAAAACAATGTAATAAAAATATGTTGCTGTTTTGAGGAAAATTTAGTGGCACTCGTGTGGAAAAAAGTCAATGATWATGCCTGAATAAAGTTCACTTAGTGCAATTATACACAGTTAAGGAAGTGAGAATGTATGGCGCTACCTTTGTCATTCACAAAATATTATATATTATTATATATACCTGTTTTTAAACAAATATACTAAACAACAAAAGTGTTTTTTTTTAATATTCATTTATTGGGTTATGTAAATATATGTTTCTAAGTATGCTCAAACTGTAGTTGTATTAAGATTCTTAAATTATTCACGGTTTCGAGTTCCTTGATGTGCCACTTTACCCCAAATTCAAAATTTTTATTCAGTCGATTATGTAAATGACCAAGGATGAAGTTTGAACGCGCGTTTAAACATGTAACGCGAAATTTCGTCATAAGAAAGTTCAAAGAATGTCAGGAATCATAATCGCAACACACAATATAATTAAAATGGGAGAGGATTTATTTACACCAACATTTTAAATCGCATCGCTTCACCATTCTAAAATAAAATTCATAATCATGGAAGAGTAAAGGTTGAGTTTAGCCATGTATATCTGAATCCCAAAGTTGTAATCATCTCTAAGAGCTTCCTCAGAACTATTATACTATCTTAAAAGCATACGTTAATGTTGTTGTTCACTAAACCAAGTTTTGTATGTTATCGTTGGAAAAATATTATGACGAATCTAAGACACAATTGATTTCACTGGCATTCAAAGTTTTCAAATCGACAACTTCCGCGGGCGGAAACGACTTTTGAATAACACATTTAATGCTTATGTACATGCTATCTTTCTTTGGCAAAACCTGCTTTAAAGAAAACTAATCAATAATACAGGATTATTATAAGTAATTAAATAAATCCTATACAAAAACAAAAAAAAACGAAACACACATTGAATTTAAATCAAGGCAGCTCGTAACTTTAAGGTATAGTTTAAAAATATATTTTACAAAGTAAGATTGTATGCTTTATTTTATTGAACATAAGCAAACAGATTTCATTCAATAAAAAAATTAATTCATATTATGAAAAAAAAATTCTGGTTGACTTCATTACATCTAAAATGTCAAAGTACAAATACCATGGCGTTATATGATTGGTTTCTGAAAAGTAGCTACATTAAATATCCCGACAATTGTATATACGAAGTAATATCTAAAAGGAAGAATTATTTACTGTTAGAAATATATGCTACCTACAGAGTTGTGTGCATACATACAAATATTTTCAAACTAAAGAATAACAACAAATATTTATTGCTAATAGTATCGCAACATTTTTTAATTTTATGTTAAATATAAATGTATTTATCTTAATGTCGATACATTTTAGAAAAATAAAAGTAAGGTCAATTCAATTGGCGTGACTTCAGATCCAGCTCTTGTAAATATTCCAGTTCTCCACAATGCAAAATAAAGTGAATTGTAATTATTTATTATATATACACGTATAAATACATACTTACTTACCTACTTACATATACAGATATACATGCATTGAAAAGTATTGAAAAAATAATATGTAATATGTATTTTAAATTAAAATAAAATGACTCATGAAGTGAACAGTAAGTTCAAACCTTTTTTATGACAATACGATTTTTGAACTGAGRAAATTAATTTCAATCACAACATTTCAAATCGTTTGAAGTGTCGAACCATGAGGATGTTTTCAGCAGTAACATATGTACGCCATACCCCCGGATCAGTTTTTTCGCCTTTAAGGGAAGAACGCTAACTAATGATTACTTTAATAAACTTAAATAATTTTCTTGTTCTTAAACCATTTTATTTTATACATAGACAACTTTTACCCATATGTATAGTACGTAGCATGTCGTTACAATTCGGCTAACAAAGTTGGACAATGCATACAAAGCCCATTATAAAGTCCTCACCATTATCATAAGTAGCATCTACTATATTTAYGCTCAAATAGCACATAAACTTAAACTAAAAGCAGGAAGCACGTGACTGCCAACTTAACAATCACGATACAAATACATTCCTTACTAACGGCACGAACAACCCAACAGCTAATGTGAAATGTGCGAAGCATTTCGATTATTTAATGTCACAGAGCAAAGCAACGCCACGCAACGTCCAATGCTTCGGGTTGAAATCCGTCTCAAAGTCAATTGAGCCAACATATTTGGCATCGGTTCGTTGTGGTTTTCGATAAATCGGACACTCATAAAGCTTAGGATCCTTCCCAGCAGTTGTGTTAATAGCATATATGTAGATTACCGGCATTTGTTCATAGAGTACTTTCATCTTGGACTCGACCAACTTGCCACTGCGCCGATCCAGCGAAGCACCTAAGAGGTAATGTGTATATACATATTTTTATGGAAATTTAAAGACTTTTAAGTGTGGTTTCTCCAAAAGWAAAGTGTGGAACTACGTCCATTTATATGTATGGAATTCTAAGAGGGATAATAAAATATATAGCACACTCTGATACATATTTACTCATACTTRGGTGATCATTTTGTGGTTGGAAAGCAGATATATAATAATATTCAAAATATTATAGATTTCATATTTAGGTACATAACTGTACTCGTGCAAACAACCAATTTATTTAATTAAAATGTAAACACCTGTCCATAATTCGAACCACCTTTGTTAATTATAAAAAGTATATGTATATCTAACAAAAAAATTTAAATAATAGCTTATGACATTCATAAGATATAAGGTTCTAGATTTTTTAAAAATATTTTCTGTCTCATCGATGGTTAGCCTCGACCCTCCTGCATATGTGCATTCTACTATTTACGTATATACATACATACACATTCTCAAACGTATGTGTGTTTTAACTTGCAAACGAAGTGACCAATAAGAGAAAAAATTAGGTGAAAATGGATTTAAGATGTAAAAAATGTGAGAGTAGGGATAAAAGCAACCAGAAGTCGAATATGCTTTGACGTTAATGTGCTAACATGCTCAAATCCTTATACTATTTTAATATGTGCTATTGGCATGCGTGAAAGCTCATTTCCTAAGTGAAATGCGCCACTTTAACTCTCTTATGGGCATACGACGTACTACATGTAAAATAAAAATTTTACGGACAAGTATTTTGTAGCAAATACTCGTTCAAGTTCGAGCACTATTAGTATGTATGTACATGTTTTCAAATATTGAAATACATTCTGTGAATTTGTAAGCTTAAAAATGTCCTGAAATTTCGACCCTGAATGACTAAAGTCCATTTTTTAGTCAGAATTTCTAGTTATTACTTAGTACTTTTCCTTACTACAAATGTCAAAAAATCTAGACCAAAAACAAGTAAGGAAGGGCTAAGTTCGGGTGTCACCGAACATTTTATACTCTCGCATGACAAGTTTCATCAAGATATCTCAATTTTTACTCAAGTTACAGCTTGCACGGACGGACAGACAGACATCCGGATTTCAACTCTACTCGTCACCCTGATCACTTTGGCGTATATAACCCTATATCTGACTCTTTTAGTTTTAGGACTTACAAACAACCGTTATGTGAGCAAAACTATAATACTCTCCTTAGCAACTTTATTGCGAGAGTATAACTACATTTTTGAAACACATTGAAATCTAAAGGTTTGCAGCAAATATTTGTTTGTATGCATTACTCGTGCTACAGCTATATATATATTCATAAAATAAAGCAAATAGGAAAACTTCATAATAAATAACGAGTGCTAAATATAAATAAAGAAATAAACCGCCATGATGAAAAAGTTAGAAATTACAATGGGTTACTATGAGAGTGGAAAGGTCATATGTATACAAATGGCATACCTCAGGTCACGCCAACTGAAAACTGGCAATACTCACCTTCCAGAAATAGTCCATGCACGTAGACACCTTCGGTGGGGTATTCGGAGATGTCTTCCTTATTATAGCGAGTTATTTGATTTTGCAGAACAACCGAGTCCAGTGCCCAGCCTTTGTGTGCGCGTGTCACTTCCTAAAATCCCTCGCAAATCCCAACCGAGATTTGTTTTGCATTTGTTTCCATTTGAATGTATTAAAGCCAAAAAATAGTTTGGATGGAAGGCCACGTACGATTATATGCGATGCAAAGGGTGACAGTAGGGAGGTGAATTGGATAGTTATTGTAACTCAAGTGAAATAGTAGCAAAATTAAATTAGATTTGCTTGCAAATAATAAACAGTTATAAATAAGAGTTAAATGCCAACATTCAAGGTGATCAAAGCGCGCCCTCAGGCGTCGAAATTCACACAGGTCACGTTATTCATGTGAGCTTTGCTAAGCCCATTMTAAATACATACTTACATACGTAAACGCATACCTAATAAGTAATTATATTCATTAATTTAATTAATCCTGGCAAAGTCAGCTTGTGAGAAAGAGTTGCGCGAAGGTATGGATTCTGCATATATCGAATATTTTTAGCATTGCTACGATTACTTACGATAGTTTTAACTGCTTTTCTGTTGCTATGAATAAAATCCTTTCATATATGTATATTCGCCTAAATATAAAYTTGCCCTTGCACTGTTTTTCCTTATAAACCCATATTGCAGTCCTCTAAACAAACTTTT